CTTTCCCAAAGTCGATCACACATGCTCGCAACATATCTTCCAAGGTTTGGATAGTCCTCTCACTCTGCCCGTCGGTCTGCGGATGGTAGGCTGTACTCATGTCTAGCCTAGTTCCTAGGGAACTTTGTAGCGACTGCCAGAACCTTGAAGTGAATCTACTATCTCTGTCCGAGATAATGGATATGGGAACACCGTGCAGTCGTACAATCTCCCTAATGTAAGTTCTTGTAAGCTTCTCTATCTTGTCTGTTTCCTTGATAGGCAGGAAGTGTGCGGACTTGGTCAATCTATCGACGATGACCCATATGGTATCAAGTCCACCCGTTGTCTTGGGCAACTTGGTTATGAAGTCCATAGTGATCCGCTCCCACTTCCATTCCGGTATCTCCGGTTGTTGTAGTAGACCGGAGGGTTTCTGGTATTCGACCTTGACCTTTGCGCAAGTAAGGCATTTACTTACGAAGGTAGCAATATCTGCTTTCATATTAGGCCACCAGTATAGCTTTTTAAGATCCAAATACATCTTATCTGAACCTGGGTGGACGGAATAACGAGTGTTGTGCGCCTCGTTCATGACTAAGTTTCTGAAACCACCGAGTTTCGGGGTCCAGATCCGATCCATGAGATAATAAGCTTCGCCACCCTTAACCTCCAAGTTCTTATCCATTCCTCTCAGGGATTCACCCGCCACATTTTCAGGTTTCAAAGCGTCGAGCTGAGCCTCCTTAATTTGTGTGGACAAGTGTGAATGGATAGTCATAGTCAATGATTTGACTCTACGACCAGAATATTCTTTCCGACTTAAGGCGTCAGCTACTACGTTGGCTTTACCCGGATGATAACGAATTTCGCATTCGTAATCACTGAGTAGCTCGACCTACCGTCGTTGTCTCATGTTGAGTTCCTTCTAGTCGAATATATGTTGTAGGCTTTTGTGGTCTGTAAAGATAGTGCTTTTTGTTCCATACAGGTAATGTCTCCAGATCTTCAGAGCAAACACAACTGCTCCTAACTCAAGATCGTGTGTAGTTTAGTTGACCTCGTGTGTCTTTAGCTCCCACTGTAGCTAGCAGCAAGGTAGGATGGTCAATCCCGTATAGATCTATACACAAATTGACGCTCTCCCTCCAGGAGACTCTGGTTACAAAACGTGACACAGCAGTATATTGACATGCCATGAAGTAGTGGCTCACATTAATGTTATAGTGTTCTTGTATTTGTATAGTATGTTCTCTCTGTTCTAGTGTATTGTATGTTCTCTTTGTATAGTGTATTGTATGTTCACTTTGTTTCTCATTATAGTATGTTCTTTTTGTTTCTCATTATAGTAAGTTTGAATTGACTCATGTATGAACTAACTCTTGTATGTTTCATTGTACTAGAAATAGTGAGTAGTAATCCTCTAAACTACACATATTATAGTTTACTAGTAATGTTGTTTGAATGACTGAGCATGTTTGTACACCTTTGTTACCCAAAGGTGCTGAACTGATGTAAGAACTTTTATATCTATACACATATACATAATATATAACTAAGATTCAAACGACACTCGGACAAACAACCGAATAGCCAAAGTCCACAACCAAACAAGGAACAAGAAATAAAGTGAGTTATCAGTCCTAAGCTCTTTCAACCTTATTTATATAACTATATCTATATAGACATGATTTTGACAATATATAAGTTTAAAAGAGTTTGATAAAGAGTTTAGCATATAAAAGAGTTTTAACATATAAAGGAATTTTAACCATTTGAATGGTTACAGATAACTTGATGTCAGCTTATAAAAGGTTTTGAAATAGTTTGTTTGATAACGCAGTTTTGAAGTATAAGAAATCCTGTTTTTGATAGTTATTAATCACATGAGATTGATACAATAACTATAATGTTTTCAACTTGTATTCCCCCCCCCCCCCCCCCCCCCGGTAAAAGCATTTAAAAGATAAGTTAAGGGGTATGAACTCACCTGATTGTGAGTAATCTGGAAGATAAGATAGATATAGGATGCTTCAATTCACAAATGAAGTTCCGAAGCACAGTTGGATCCTATAAGGCATATATTCACATATATGTGTATCCAGTTAGTGGTTATAACTACTAACAAGTATAGGAAACCACCTAAGATTGTAGGAAACACCCTAAATGAAGTGTTAGGATCACACACGGAAGCTTGGAAGGGGTTTACGGCCACCCATGGATGGGTTTGCGGCCTTAAGGAGTTCACGGCCTCATGGGGTTCACGGCCTCATGAGGTGTTCACGGCCCTTATGAATCTATGAAGGGTTCACGGACCTTATGAAGGGTTCACGACCGTGATCTCTTCAAGCTCATGAAGATGATGATGAAACTTGACAAATCAAGGTTAGGATCTAGTAGTCCTTCAAGTATGACAAGATTAAGGATGAAACACTTACGTTTTTGAGGCTTTAGAGTGTTCACGGTTGAAGCTTTTTGAGAGAGAATGGATGTGTTCATGGTTGGGAGGAGGAGAAAAGAGTAGAAAATGAGGTCACTCCAATATATATATAAGAGGTGGTTCACGGCTGTGAACGTAGTTTGCGGCCGTGAACACCTTATTAGTGATTTTCTGGTTCGAATTTATCCTCCCGATCCCAAGCTAACTAATCCTAGCATCCATTCATACATTACACTAGGCTTAGAAACTCTCAAACAGATCCTTAACAGTGCTAAAAGATAGCGGAAACTAGTTTGACTTTGATTGAATTGAATGTCTGTACAAGATAGAAATTTCGGGTTGTCACAGAAAGTCATAAAGGTGGAAACTTTATGACTTAGAATGATGTTTTGGGTCTAGATCTGAATTTGGAAGAAAGGTCTTTAAGAAATAAGCACTTAATGATAAAGAGTTGGTCCAGACGGAGTACTCGGATGTACCAAGTGGTATACTAGGCTAAAGCCTCGATGATTTGCTTAGATTCTGACTACGCCCAGCGTAGTAGCCGAGTACGTAGGGTGTACTGAGCCTACCTTGACTTTTTACTTTCTGACTTTGACCTTTAACCTAGGGTTTGACCTAGGGGCTTTTTGGGTATTTTGAGATGTTGTTTGATTCTAGGTCACTGTTTGTTGTATAGGTGACTTGTAGAGTTGGCATTTGGAGCAACGGTCTTTTCTGCTATCTTTTCAGACTGTGAGGTGAGTTTTCCTCACTGTACTTGTGTGGTTTGGGTTCAAGTTGTACTGCTTTGTGCTGTCGACCAACAAACCTAGTGGAAATCCAACCGGGAGGTTGTGAGCCAGAATGACAATCCAATCTGGAGATTATGGGCCAGTGGCAATCCAATCGGGAGATTATGGGCCAAAGTAGAAATCCAACCAGGAGGTTGTGGGCCAGGGTAATCCAGTCGGGAGACTGTGGACCCAGCATGCATTTTGTATATTTGTATGGTTGTGTGTGGTATTCAGGGGAACTCACAAAGCTTTGGCTTACAATTTAAGTTTTATGTTTCAGGTACTTCAGATGATCAGGGCAAGGCGAATGCTTGATCGTGCACATCCTTCAATATTTATGAGATTCGATTTTGGGATACTCTATTTGTGATTTTTTACACTTTGGAAACTATGTTTTGTAAACATTTATGGTTTTTGGTTTTTTTTGAAAAATGAAAATTTCACCTTTTTTTTTGGGATGTTACAGAATGCTAGTTGCTTCTTGTAATCCTGACTGTCTTTAAGCACTTAACTCAAATAAGTACTAAATGAGACAACTTAAGGGAGCTTCTAATCACCAAAAACTAGCTTCAAAAGGTGAGAGGTGAGGGGAAGAACAAACCTACGGTTTTATGGAGAAAAAGAGAGGAAGAAGCATTAAAACAAGTAGCCAAAAACTCATGCAAAAGCCTTCATTTTATACTTTCGTGCAAGACATGTCTTTATATTATAATAACATAAAGTAATTCTAGCCTTTTAGAAGCTTGGGGGGACAAGGTATGGATGTTGACAAGCAACCTCCATGCCTTCACAAAAGTTTCGGCCTGAAAGAGACAAAATTGACTAGCTAGCTTGTTTAACTCAAAGACCGAATAACTAACTTAATCATCGTTAGTCAAAGTGTCCAAAACTTTGTATATGACTTATTAAATCATATCATATAATATAATAACTAGTTATACTATCTTTAATGATTATTTTCACAAAAACAATAATTATTCATTAAGTTAACACAAGAATTAATATTATTTATTAATAATCATATTAATAATAAATATATAAAAATACGTCAACTTAATAAATGTGACCCTATATGATCATATGTTATTAGCAATATCACTTAATAATGATTTTTGAGCATATAGATCCAACAATTTTGTCTATTATTTATTATTGTTTTTATTTATGTTTTTTATGATTTATTTTTTTTTTATGATGTTTTTTTGTTCAAATATATTGTTTAGTTTTTTTATGATGTTTTGTTCAAATATTTTGTTTAATTTTTTATGGTGTTTTGTTTGAATATATTGTTTAATGTTTTTTTCACATTATTTTCTCTTACTTTTGTTCAAATAAATTTTTCTATTTTTTTTTACATTTTGTTCATATACATTTTTAAATTGTTTTTAACATTTTGTTTGGCCGATATAATCATAATTTGTAACATAATTCATAATTCATTTACAATTATGTTTTTATTTTCTTTTTTTTCTTTAGTTATATAATTATTATTTTTTAATTCAAATATTTAAATATATAACATTGTTATATAATTATTATTTTTATCAATCCTTTTATAAGCATTTTTGTAAAAAAAATGTACGAAATTTATTGAACGTGAATAGGATTAAAATAGAACAAGTAATATATAGAATAATTAGAATTCAAAACAAATATTTTATTATACATAGGAGCTAATCGAAATCTATATAACTCGAAAATGAACAAAATCAAAAGATGAAGAACGGAAGAGAGTCCCTATCACAGAAAGAATAGTAAAATCCATCGAACATAGAATTCGAAGAATCACTACAAAAGTAGTAACACACCACAGAATAGTAAAATCCATCAAACACGCTCTTCCTGTCTTCATTCATTCTGTTTACAACTTAGACTACAACCAAACCGAGTTTAATCGAAAAGCCGATAATGAAAATATAATATAAACCTATGTCACGTTTTACAAAAATAAAATCATCATTCATCCCCATAGGCTATACTTCTATTTCCGTGCCAAAGATTCTCCCTTGTGCTCACTTCCAGCCGTAACCACAAAACCAGCACCTATCTGAATTCAATTCAACACAACACAACACAACACAGATTAAATAGTTAAGACACGTGTACACTAAAGAAACCCTGTTTGTTGTTAATAATATAATAAAACAAAAAACTAAAAAGATCCCAAGAAAAAGAGACTACTTGACAGTCCTTGAGTACAGCACGCTCTTGGAGCTGTACGTTACTGGAAACAACCGATCCATTGATAGAACAACCGTCTCCAATAGTAACATGATTCATAATCACCGAATTTACAACCTACAAATATAGTTATATTTATATTTTACTATATACCACTTTAATATTAATATAACATTTCATTCAAATTATTTTTATTTAATTGTACCTTCACATTTGATCCTATCCGACAATGACGTCCAATAACAGAACGTTTTACACTGCATTTGTCCCCCATTTGTGAACCTTCTCCCAGCATACATTGTGGTCCAACCTTTATATATTTATTATGTTCATAAAAAAGGAAGAAAAAAAACACTTTATGTTAAAAAAAAAAAAAGTGCATGAACTTACTGTGGTTTTTGAGCCAAGAACAGCAGATGGATGAATGACATTGTTGTGCACAGAGAATGAACATCTGGATAAATGACTTGCATCTCCTATGACCTGGCATGCTTAAGACTTAATAAAAAAAAGTAATTTAAACAGTGGTAATATGAAAGAAAGGTTTGAGTGTAGAAAAACTCACATCTCTGTTAATGTCACTGAATGCTTGAATGGAATTTAATCGTGCACAATATGAGGTTTTGTTGGCAATATAAACACAGCATTTATGAGTTTTTCTTTCAGTTGGAGCAAATCCATTGGGCCCCAAGGCATAAAGTTCATGAAAGCTTGGTGTAGATGCGTTAGCAAGAAGCTGAGACAACATTACTTTATTGTTACTAAAAGCATCCTTTTCGTTTCCATTTTCTTCAGCTTGTGCTCCATTTAATAATATTTCAGACCTCTAAAACCACCAAAAAAAAATAAAATATTATGCTGAGAAAAATGTGTTTCATATGTGTAGGCTTAAGAAACCAACCAGTTGACTTTTGACAAGATAAGGTAAGACATCCTGCTTCAAGCTTCTGAATGTTTGTTTTTTATTAAGGACATCTTGAAGAACAGACCTATCAAAAAACCAAAGAATATGGACAAAAAAAAAAAGAGTAAATTACATGAATGGTCCCTATCGTTTATGGTTTAGGGTAATTTGTGCGTTTGGTCCCTAACTTATTTTTTTAACTTGGAAGGTCCCTACTGTTTGTTTTTGTTACACGTTTGGTCCGTGTCTTACCTAAAGAAACTATTTTGCCCTTGATTTTTTTAATTTATTTAAATAAACACACCCCCAACCCCACCCCCTCACCTTACGTTATCCACCCCACTATTTTTCCCTATTTAAATAATAGTCTTTTTAGGTAAAACAGGGACCAAGCACATAACAAAAACAAACAGTAGGGACCAAGCGCGTAATAAAAACAAACAGTATGAACCTTCTGAGTTAAAAAAATAAGTTAGGGACCAAGCGCGCAAATTACCCCAAACCATAGGGACCATTCGTGTAATTTACTCAAATAATAAATAAGGTTGGATTAAGTGAAAATAAGTGATGATTCAAGAAAATGTAGAAATCAAACCTTTTGAATGCATATAAATGAGCATCCATTAAATCAGCACGAATTTCCATCTACATGTGTTCAAAGGGAAAAAAATTGAAATGAGAAACATGGATCAAAGTGGGATACTTTCCATGACAAGGGCATTCACGTCTTTTTCACAAACAGGAGATTAAAAGAAAGCCGTTGTCCTCCTACCTTTATGAATGAGACAAAAAAAAAAACATTTAGTGATTTACCTTGCCTACAGCACGAAGGATGCTCTTTTGAACCCTAATATCTTTTTCAACATCCATACCTAGAAAAGACCATGTGGTAATAAGTAATAACTAATAAACAAAAATACTTAATATGATAAAAAAAAGTATAAAAATCAAAGATCTAACCAGCTGCTATATGTAAAAGAAATTGTTCTGTGAGGTCAAGGCCCACAATATTAATGCATCCTGGTTTCTTTGTTTTATCTTTTCCAGCAGAAGAGCCTGATTCCTGGGTCCCACTGACAGGTAAAGAACATAACATTGCAGTCACTACAGCATCATGTCGCCTATGAGCTGCTGCTACTGCCCCTGGTGATATGTCACAAACAAGATCACCACTCACAACCTGCAAAAAATTAATCACTTAATTCTTCAAAAAAATTTGTATCTTCCAACATTGTCCACATCAGCATCAACAAAAATAAAAAACTTCATATTGATATGAGTGAGAAGTCAAACCAGGATGTCAGATGCAGTCAAATGATGAGCAATGGCCCGAAGAGCGCCAGCTGTACCAACTTCCTCTGGGACAGAAGCAACCTAAAAAAATATATCTTAGCTTGCTTACCATGATATAAATCTCAAATTATTTAAAAAAAAAAAGTAATTATAAATCTCTAAAAGGTTTTACTAAAAATACCTGAACATGTAATCGATCAACATAAGCCTCAGATATCCAATTTTCAACAAGGCCATCTGTATCTTCCCCTTCCACAACCTATGCCCAAAAATCTTCATGTAAAAACTCTAAAATCGTCTTTACTTTTTAATCAATTTCTTTTTAATAAAACGCATGTCTTCATATACAATAAGCAACTAGATAGAAAGATGTTGAGGTTAAATGGTAATTAAATCCATATAGATTTTGCATTTCAGAAATGTATCTCATATATGATGATTTTAAATGGGTAAATAAAATCCATGATGTGGTCTACGATTATTGGGAAATAGGTGTTACGAAAATCACACGATGTACAAGTTGATAAATATTATTTGTAACGAATATTGTGCGACAATATTATAATGTTGCAATAGATTTATGACAATAAACTTTATGTGATTTTATGTAGTTTAAAATGTTAGGGTAAAACGATTCATGATAAGGTTCCCTAGATCCCTGATTTCTAGGATTATTCCTATTTGATAGAAACAATTATGTTCATTTAATTACCTTATGAGATAAGTATAATTAAATAATAAATTCCTATTGAGAATGGAATTCCTCATTTGAGTAGTAGTTCAACAGTTCAGCCCTCTTTTAGTATATATATATATATATATATATATATATATATATATATATATATATGTTAAGGGTTTCAACCATGTTTGTCTCAAGGCTTATGATTCCATTGTTTGTGGTGGAAAACATCAAAAGTGTATGATTAAATGATGAATAATTTTAATATGAGTTAACATGTTTTCTCCTTAGAATAATGGGCTTTCTATTTACTAGCCTCCCATTTTTCTCTTCTGCATTTTTGACATTATCACTTAGAAGGTGGGGCCATGGTATTTTAACACTAAATTTTTCATATGGCTAACCTACTTTACAAAAGAAAAAGGTCAAAACCTCATTATAAAGAAAAGGAAAAGAAGCTTTACATCAAAAGAGTTCAAAAGTAGCAGAAGCAATTTGGACACAGATTAAGTATGTACGATAACTTTTCTCAAAGTAAACACTGATTGTTATACAAGTTAACTACAATGATTGTTTTCCCAAAAAGAATTGTGTTAAAAAATGACTTCATATATTTGCTATAGCTTTGACATTTGTTTAAAACTACTTAAATCCTTCATGTGTCATCAACTAGAAGTGTGTCTTATGGGTAAAAGAAATTGTCATACTAAAGCTTCTCACATAATGGTAGAGTGAAATCCTTCATGTGTATCTTGATTAGGGTTGTATCTAAGGTTGTCCTAAATCTCCTTTTCAGTGAAGGAGATCAAATTGTAGACATTTACACACATTTGGTTATCAACTTGAAGTAGGGATTGTAGTTCAACTTAAAAAACAACAATAAATGATGGATATTTCATTGGTTGATAAGTCCAACAGATACAAAGTAAAATATATTTCACATAAACCTAAAACTTAGGAAGCTAGAAATGGTACATTCATTAAACTATTAACTTGAGTGAGAGTGTGTCTACCTAAAGGGTAAAAATGTGACTACATGCCAACTCATGTGATGGATGAAGATAATTCCAGTCTATGGTATGATGCTACACATGATAACTACAATCTACTGCAAAAATGAAGTATAGAAGATTGTTAAGATTGTAAAAAAGAGTCGAAACACAATCGTGCAGTAGTAAATTGATGGAGTCAAATGCCAATATCAAGACATGTGCATTGTACAGAGTATAAGGTCAATAACAGGCTATATAAATTGAATTCTTATCCATAACTTTGTTTCTTCCTGATCTCTAAGAAAAGGACAAAGATTAGATCATGATCTCACTGTGGTTCCATGGGTTATAACCTGTCGATGTTTAAGAAATTACTTTGTTTGTGGAGATAGACCACTATTCATAATTGAGAGTTCAAGGAAACTATGTGATCGACATTTGGCGCTAGATAGAAGAAAGTTTTCGATAGCAACACAGCTTCCTCCTCTTATAATAAGGCTATAGAAAATACTAGGTTTTGTATCAAATTCACATCGTACAAACCTTTCCAGTAACTGATAGGATAATAATTAAACCGGAAAAGAAGCAAAAACTTACAGATAAACCCCAATTATCAAAAATTAGACGCTACATTGCAGGTATAAACGAATTATAGAACATATTGAAAATAGAAAAGGATCTTACAACGATAAGATCTTTGAGATTACTCTGCTCCAATAGCTCCAAAAGGTAGGATAACACTGGGCGATTCGCCACTGGGAGTAGCGATTTGGGAACGTCCTACAGGTTTTCAGAAACAAGAAAGTGAGTCGATACAATCATATTCACAAATATATGAATCATATACACACCAGGAGGTTATAGAAACCTTGGAAACAAGAGGGGCAAGCTTCTTCGAAGTGCCTCCCGCCAATACTACCACTTGAAAATCCATATCTGCAAGCTGGTTTGAGGAATAGAGAATTAGGGGGTTACGAGGGGGTTTGCACTTTGTGAACAAAGGAGCCGTCGCGTCACGGAAAAAAGAAAGGCCGACGCTTTTGATTGCAACCGGTGCGAATCACTAATTATAATTAGGGTCAAGTTGATGTAGGCGGATCCGACCCGATCCGAAAAAAATAGCACAAAACTTTGGACCGAAATCGAACCGATTATGAATATATGGGTTCCGGGCCGGTTCGACTTATCTCATGCAACCTCGTTCAATAGTTTTTCCAGCCCATTAGCTAGATATTGGGAGTTGGTATTTGTCGGTGTGTGTTTTTTTTTCAATAATCAATCATAAATTAAATATTCTCCTGTAATTTTCTTCTATCATCCATCAAGTGATGGCATGTGTTATATTTAATTTTTCTTATTAATATTTTAATCTACTTCTCATCATTTAACATTGATAGGAAGACAAGCAGGAGAAAATTATAGGACGATATTTAATTTCTCGTAATGAAATATCATTGGTTTGTTATTTCAATTTAACGGTTCGTGGTAACTTGGTATTTCAATTTAATATTTAACTACATTTCAGTTTGGCCATGAACTTTTCTTATTTTTTCAATTTTAGTTTTTGCTTCTGTACACATATTCTATAATATTTTTTAGAGAAAATCTCGAGAAAAATCTTAATATTTTACCTTAATTTACGAAAAAATCTCAAATTAAAATTTATTTACGAAAAAAGTCACAATTACTGGTAAAATTATGACGATTTGACCCATTTTTCCCAATTTACTGGTTTCAGTACTTACCCGGTTTCATTAAAATCTCATTATTTTACCCTAATTTACAAATAAGTCCCAAAATAAAATAAGTAATGATTTAGCCCTTTTCTCCATTTAACATATATTTTACCAGGTTCATTGCTGATCTGGATGTCTAGTCATTAAATTAGCTGATAAGATAGATATAATGGGTTATATAATACTACATTTACCGTAAAGTTTGATATCCATCTCATCGGCTCACTTATGATTATGTATCCAGGTCAGCAATGAAACCGGTAAAATGTGTGGTTTTGGGAAAAATAGGGGGAAATGAGCTGATGAGATAGATATACTGGGTTACAAAAGATTAGATAGACAATTTGAAATTTCTTATAAACTTAAAAATAACAAATTTGTTGCAAGTTTATGTAATTATTGCAGTTTTCGTTAGATACATTTTATATTTCAGGAAATATACAGTAGATCATGATATCATTTTTTTAATGATAAACATAACATTATATAACTCAACATATCCATATCATCAGCTCATTTAATGACTATGCGTCTATGTCAGTGATGACACTGGAAATATGTCCAGGGAGAAAATGGCTAAATCATCACTTAATTTTAGTTTGGGACTTATTCGTAAATTATGATAAAATAATAGGACTTTAATGGAACCGGGTAAGTAATGAAACCGGAAAAAAAAATGGTCAAATCACTGTTTTTACCGGTAATTTGGATTTTTTTATAAACAAATTTTAGTTTTGGATTTTTTCGTAAATTATGTTGAAATATTAGGACTTTTCTGAAGATTTCCCTATTTTTTAGTTTTAGTTTAATTTTTTGTTTTTTCGTTTTTTCATTTTTTTTTTATTAGAAAATTAGCATCACAACAAAATAGCAATGTACTAAATATCGAAAATACCAATATAAAATTACAAATTGCCATTGTAAAATTCTAAAATACCATTGTAACAAACTTACAAACCAAAACATTAATGTAAAAATCCAAAATACCATTGTACCAAATTAGCAATATATTAAATAACCAAAATACCATTATACCAAAATAAACAATCTAATCAAAAAGAAAAAATTAAACTTCAACCGGCTTTTTTTCCATTCTTTTTAACATCTTTGTCTATGTCATCCTTTCAATCTCTATATAAATACCAAAATAAAAAATAGTTATTATTTAAAACTTCTAACAAATATTACAAATAATATTATAATGATTTAAATTTACTACCAAAATCAATCTCATCATTATTTAATATGTCTCTATCATCATTTGTTATCGGTTTTCATGATTTCCTAACTCAATCTTAGGTACACACCAACATCTCCAGAATAAGTGTTGCCGAACGTGTTCGATACTCATCTAAAATTCGACCGAATGTGCCAAATACGGATTTCGGTGTCACAGTCGACATTTGTATGGACAAAATATCTAAAAGCAAACGATTATAAAATTATAAGTCTATTAATTTATATCTTAAATTATAGAAAACCAAAACAAGTATTAGAAAATCGAAACTACATTCCTTTATACTAGCAATGGTAGGAAATCGCAAATCGTATTTTTTTCCACTAATCTAGTATGTTGAAATCTTTAACAAAAGACATTTTGGCATCGGTTGGCACCATCAAGAAATTGTTGAACCTGAACAAATTGTTGTTCAGAAATCTAACGAAACATAAAGTGTTCGCAGGTCTGGTAAAAATATAAGGAACCAGAGAGATATGGATTTCTCATTGACTGATGTTCTTTGATGGATTCTGATGAACCCATCAACTACCAGAATGTTATGTCAGATTATGAATTCGACAAATGGATTGAAGCCATGAAAACTAAAATGCAATCTATGTATAATGATCGAGTATGAGACTTGATTGATCTTCCTCCCATAGTAAGATTGTAGGAAGTAAGTGAGTTGTCAAGAAGAAAAATAAACATGGATAGAAACATACGCATATTTAAAGGATGATTGTTGACAAAATCTTCACTCAAACTCGTGATATTGACTATAACGAAACTTTTTATGTAATTGCTATGATTAGATCAATTGGGGTATTATTTGTCATAGCCAAATATTATGACTATAAAATATGGAAAATAGGTGTCAAAATTGTTTTCCTTAATAGACATTTACCTGGAGATGTATATATATATATATATATATATATATATATATATATATATATATATATATATATATATAAAACTTATTCTGAAGGTTTTGTCGATCCATGACATCCTAATAAAGTGTGTAATATGTAGACATCTATTTATGGATTTAAAGAAAGTATCGCGAAGTTGGAATCTTCATTTCATGAGTAAGTCATAAAGTGTGGTTTCATAAAAAAAATGAAGATGACTTTTGTGTTTACAATAAAACTAGTGGGAGTGCGATGACATTCCTAGTCTTGTATGTGGACGACATATATTGACTAAAAGGGTTGAGTCAAAGTGCATATATTGACAAGATCTTGAAAATGTTCAATATATGAGACTCCTAGAGAGGATTTCTTATCAATGCCACATGACATGATTTTGAGCTCGTCTCAAACTCTAGTATAAAAGGTTAACCTAGATAATATGAATGGGTTACATTTGCTTTAGTCATTGGATCCATCATGCATGTCATGTTATGCACGAGACCAGATGTATGCTAATGCTTTTTAAGCATGACAATAAGATACCAACAAGATATAAGGGAAGGTCATTGGATAACTATAAAGAGCATTCTAAAAGTAATTACAAAGAACTGAAGAAATGTTTCTAAGTTACTCGGCTTGGAAGAAGATCTTGCTCTAAAGTGTTACATAGATGCTAGCTCCCAAACAGATGGAGATAAATGTAAGTTAATATCGGGATATATCTTTATTATTAATGAAGAACCAATTTTGTTGGAAAGGAGTTCCAAGCATAACATGTTTGAACAATCTACTATAGAATAAGAATATGTTGTTGCTTTTGAAGATGCAATAGAAAATGGTTGGATGAAAAACTTCATTGAAAAACTAGGATGAATCCTTCATTTAGGATCACCTAAAAATCTTTTGTGACAAAAAGGGTGCACTTACTCTAGCCAAGGACCCTAAGTCACATCAAAACATCAATCATTTCCTCCGAAGATTTGACAATATTCATAATAAAGTTAAATAAGGAAATGATTGTATTCCTAGAATTTATATGTTGGGTTTTAGTTCAAAATTAGTTTCTAAAAAACTCATAATAATTGCAGCGGAAATCTTAAATTTTTTGAACTTAATAACAAATTACAACCCACCAAGGATATTCTTACAAGTAATGGAAAGAAAACACCATCCATAGAAGAGTAAAAGAATAAACAACCTTTGTTGTCTTTTGGTCCTCAAGGGGAGGCTAGGAAGTGGATGAAGAATGTGGAACCTTTGTAACATCCCAAAAATCATGACCAAAAATTTCTTTTTAAAACATTACTAAACCATAGTATCAAATCATTTCAAACATACTAGAAGGGTTATATAACAAATCAGAGTGTCTTTTCAAAACACTTGTCCATTTTATCAGAGTAAACATCCCAAGCTAAACTTCTTTGTTGTGTGTGTGTGTGCCATGCGATCACCCCGAGCTCTTCCCTCCGCTACCGGAAGTACCTGAAACCGAAACTGAAAACCGTAAGCACGAAGCATAGTGAGTTCCCCAACCTACCACATACCACATACATAACCACATATTGGGCCTTGCCCACTGCATCGGGCCCTGCCCGGCATCGGACCGAAGTCCGGACTAACTTGGGCTCCGCCTACTGCATCGGGCCCCGCCCGACATCAGGCCCCGCCTGGAATCGAGCCCCACTCGGTATACATATTTGTTCTCTTAGGCCCCGCCTGTCTCTGGGCCTCGCCCGCTAGTAACAATTACAAGCATATGACATAACACATATCATAAAGCTAAACATACTCTACTGTACTACTGATCTAAGGCCTCGCCTATCTTGGGACCCGCCCCTGTCCTACTACTGGTGAGTCATGGAACCCCGTCCATGCTTCTGCTGATTAGTGAGATACGGGCCCCCGCCCACACTCACCTCCCTCCTAACTCGGGCCTCGCCCCTACTCTGCTACTAATGAGATACGGAACCCCGTCCATACTCGGCTAGTGATGAGATACGGGACCTCGCCCGACTCACCTCCCTACTGGGCACATACAAGTATCACACAGACAACAAGTACAATCTAACATGAAAGACATTCCTTGGGCACCCGCCCAACATCAGACCTTGGTCCGGAATATTATACTAGCATACAGTGCCTAGGGCTAACCCCCATGTCTTCCTA